CCTACGACTTTGTGCGTCGTGACGCTGTGCGAAAACCCTCGCAAGCTCCATACAAACAATATTTCAGAGTAATCAGAGACTGAGTAGGGTGCCAGGACACCGTCAGCATTGATTGATTAAAGCTCCGTCTGGAGGGTGAATCACTAACCATATCATCATCGAAACCAGAAAACTCCTTTAATCCAAATGCCAACCTGGAATTAATTAATGCGAAATCTCTGTATATGGCATGGTGTGTTCTGCATGCTCTGGTTGAAGCGTGCACTGGCCTTAACGGTACACAGACGATGTCAGCTAGGTTTCATTCTATAAGTTGCCGGCAAGAAGACAAGACTGTTCACAAAATAACAAAGAAAAAGCCCTGATTTTGTCTTCCTTTTTGTTAAAATCTTTGCGTTTATTCTGCTTCTGATAAATTTTTGGCTTTAGAGTTTTCTTTTCGTTCCTGCTAACATTCGTTCTTTCATATTGTAGCACAGGCATAGAACCCTAGAAATTATTTATTTTTTCTTTATTTTTTATTTTTGATTACAGCTTGATTCCACACTGTATTTTTGGTACAAGTATGGAATTTTCAGCGTGGATGTCGGTAGCCCAAATTTTGCAGGCCGACCATAGATATCAGGTGTTCGCCGGTGTGGGCTCGAACCCCGGACCATGTGCATGGTTGGCGAGAGTCCTAACCACTGTGCCACTGACGCGATCGGTCCATGCCAACGACAAAATGGACCCCAGCGCGGTTCCACTTCGTCCGTTCTCCTAATCAAGTCAGCACCTGTTTACAGGCACCTGCTGGGATAAAAGAGTGCCTGTATCCAAAGAGTCACTGTAAATTCCAATGCTGAAAGACCTCATTTTAATTTGCACTTATACAAACTGGCTCCAACGTCACCTGGCGCTTTTATGTTGTGTTGTTAACACCCACATTCCTTGAACTTGTAATAAAGCTATATCCGTGAGATAAGTGCTACATAATCCATACGTTTGAATTTGATCAAATATGCGGCGCACCTCAGCAATCTTTCTTCACAATCGAGTGTCAAGTATAGCGAAATTCCGTTATCTAAAATATGATGATCTCTTTTCAACGAAGTTCTCAGAGCCATGTCCGGGTTCTATGCCCCAAGAAGAACCCTAAGTAGACCCAGAGGCTTGGAAAGACATGCGATTACTGCACAGGCTGTGAAACTTGGGGCACGTGCCTGATGATCACTTGAAACGCTACCTTGTCAAATCGCCGAACAGGAGTGACTTGACCCAATACAAGAAGTGGGAAGGAACCATGCTCCAGTCAAACTTGAGTGAAATTTTAAGTCCCATAATCCTGGAGGCAGTAAAAGATGCTCTAGAAGGAAAACTCCATCTGGAACAGCCTACCTTCAGGAAACACAAGTCATATGCTAGTCAAATGGAAACATTAGTTATCGTGCAACAAAGCCTAGAATGTCAGTTGATTCTTGATAGCCACCTTCCTAAAAATCTACAATGGCGTCGACCGGGCAGTAATTCATCATCTGCTTCTACAGCAATGAGTGTATCTGTCCTAAGAATTAGCTTGCTTAATATCCCAAATTCGAATAGAAATGAAAAAAATACCAAAATCCGTTACTTCACTGGAAGAATATATTAAAATTTGTTACCTGGGTTATAACAAGTTCCAAATCCACAATTAACTTAGTAGACTCCAGAAGTATTGTGCGAAGACTGCTCCAATCTTAATTCTCGAATATCAATATTGCCAGAGGTCGACCAAGGTAACGTAAGGAGAAAATACAGCGTCCCTGCGAAATTTCGAAATAAAAAGTAGGTAATTAGAATTGGCCGATGGCAGTTGGGATGGTGGAGAAGACGGAGAGTTGTAGGCAGAACTATATGTTCATTCAAAACACGAGGTTCAGCTTAAAGTACAGAGGTCCTGATTAAAACAAAGTAATGTACAATATGTTCATTTCTCACACAGTAGTAAAAGTTGGATCAGTTTATTTTTGAAGACTCCACAAGAGTGTAGTATGGCAGGCATGCCGCTATTAAATGATATCCACGCCAAAAATTTCACCACAGAAACTATCCAGGACGTTTGGAGTGAAGACAAGAGTAGGCCAAAGCTGGTTACTGCTGACAATAACTTTACCGTTTGTGATGGATTGGAGCATACGGCAGTGCGTATTGAGTGAGTAGGCGAACACGTAGGATCAGTAAAGAGACCCAAAAGGTCTGGATTTGGCTGCGGATATTTACCTCATGTATCACAAAGGGCAAGATTTGTAGGCAGGAGAGGCAGTGAAGACAGGAACTGAGGTGAATACAGAGGGCGGCGATGATGAAGACACCCAACCAACAACAAGCACCAACCACCGATGATTGGAGGAATGGAAGTGAAATTATCTGTCATTTGTTTTACAATTTCAACTTTCATCTCATGTACAATGCACCCTTCGATACTGTTGGTGACATCATGATAGATACCCATGAATGTCGTCCGGGTGACAGAAGTAAATTATTGGTTCTCCTGTTAATAATTTGGAGAGTTCATTTTCATTTCATACTCTTTTACAGGCTCCCACTGATTCTGTGCTACATCCTCTCAGTTATCTTGCAATCTAGGAAGGCTAACCAGTCAGAATCGAACATGGTTCAGACATGTATTTATGTTTACTCTTGCTAAGATCGAAAGAAGAGATATCGACAGACCTGTCTTCTAAATGGTTTCTCCTGCACAGAGAACTCGCACCCCTTCCGAGATTTCTTCCGGTCTCCGAAGTTTCTGCAACGATTATATCGGTTTCCCAGTAAGGTTTATCCAGCTTTATGCACTAGCTTTCCTTCGTTCCCGTAATTTGGACCAGCCAGTGAACTAATGAACTGGTAAACTAGGCAAGAAATAACCAATGGTGAATTGATCTGAATTATGTATCACTTTTTTCTCAAAGAGAGAAAAATTGTTTAGTAACTTATCCTCAGTAACATATGAAACTCTGAGGTATTGATTTTGCACGAAAATGTTATTTGTCTTAGATGAGGCACATAATATTAATTGGAGAGTAATGCCTAGCCGTCACTGACGCCAAATATATACCCTTCATATATATTTAGTGTGGAACTTATCATTTGGACTTAGTGGAAGAACCTCACTTTCCGCTTAATGGCTGAATAAAAATGAATGAATAATCACATTTAAGTTCCGAGTGTCATAAAAGCAGATTTTATCCTAGGAGCGACGTGTAATCAAAAGACAAAAAGAAATGTGTTATATGAGGGAAAAATGCTCTCTATACAATGGGGTGAAGAGATAAATTATCCTTAAATCAGCCCTTCATTGATTTCCTGAAGTTATAAAAAACGTTCATCGACGGAATTACGGTTCACTACTCATTTATGTAAATATTATACAATTCTATGGCTCAATTGAACATTAAATTTGTCTAACGCTACGCATTTGACAAAGCGTATCTTGAGCGCGTAACCACTGTTTGAAGTAGTCGCCATAGTATTTCTTTGTCACACTCTGGAAATGCCTAGACGCAGTACGTCGCTATATATTCGTCACCTTCCAGACACATGCAGGTATGTTTTATGCTCCTACTTTGTTATATCACTTCTAGACATGACGATTTAAGACGTTGCTTCGGTCGCTATGGCAGGATCGTCGATGTTACTATACCACTGGATTTCTTCACCGGAAGAATGAAGGGCTATGCATTTATAGAATATCCTTTTTCTGTTTTAAGTGGTTAACTTTACGTTATTATTGCGTTAATATACCTTACCCGTATAAATGTTTGCCGTATTCGTCTCACAGGCACGGCAAATTCAAGCCCAAATCACTTCAGCTATTGGTTACAAATGATGGCTCAGTTGCCAATCAGCTTCAAACAGTCAATCAATAATCATAGGCTCAGTTCGTCACTAAATAAACAATCTGTCTAGTTGAGCAAGGTACATGGCAGCACATGTACTTTCAAAGTACTCAGTGTTCAAAATAATTTAATCAATCCAATCCAAAATCAGTTAATTTTACAAGTTTTCACACAAACCAAACGAGTATCGGGACTAGTTGGTCATCGTTTGCAGCTGCCAAGCTAGTTCAACCTAGTCCAATTAAATTAGTGTGATAACAATTATAAGTTGACAAAATTCAGGGCCGTCCCAAAAATCAATCCATGTACAGTTACATAGAATGGGACTTCAAGACCCAATGGGTGAGTCTCTTAATGTCTTTTTGCTTTTTTGTATCCTTAACTAAGTGCTAACGTTCGAGAATCCTAGGGACGCTGAAGATGCCCATTATTACATGGACCACACACGGTTCATGGGTCGTGATATCGAGGTCGAGTTTACGAGGGGTTACCGCAAAAGTAAGGACACTTCAGTTTCTAAGTTCGTTGTCTTGTGTATTTCTGTAATCCCTTTTGGGCCCTTAAAATCAATAACCGTTGGAATGTATCACGTTGCATTCCAGCATAGATCATTAATAAATCACTGCATGCACAGTGGATTGTCTGATTATGAATATACATATTAATGAGTCTGTCAGCTGTTACTGATTATTATTTCCTTTGAATCCCTATTAATAGCTCCCGCTGAAATGCGTTTAAAAGAAAGGCGTGATGATACACATCGAGGTGGCAGACGATATCGATCCCGGTCTCGGTCAAGGTAATGTGGACATATTTCGTTATATTTCTAGTCGTAGATCTCATTCCAATTCCAGACAGAAAGCTGTGGATCCGTATTATCGAGGTCGACCAAATGACCGCCGAGATGATTCACGAAGACGAGTGAACAACGTCCGTCCTAATAGATCAGCGTCCAGATCTAGATCACCCACCAGATCCCGGTCAGCAAGTCACGATGGAATGGACAATGGTGATGAAATACGTAAAGGGAGTCGACGCAATGACCGTAGGGATAACCGTGCTGTCTCTCGAAGTCCCGCTCATAGGCGCGGTTCTGTGTCACGATCCCGTTCCGGTTCATATTGATCATGTATATGCAATGCAATGGACACCTTTCGTCAATGCGTATGTTTTTAATTACAATAAATGTCTATGCAGGCATTAGAGCTGCATTTATGCCCACAATGTATCATTACGTTCTTTGTTTGTGTTCGAACTTGCTGAATTCAGAAAGTTGTTTATACGGATTTTTCAAATTAATATTCCTAAATACAACTTATGCAACTGTGAACATCACAGCTCGTCTCAGTTTTTGACTGCATTTTGTAATTTACGTGAAGAATGTGCTGAAAACAAAAGGTACGTAGTTTTGCTCTATTTACGTGTTAATTATGTGCAGTTGTAACGAATTAATGAATGTATTGAAGTGACACCACCTAACAATTGACATCTCTTGTATCGTAAATACAAACTGTAATGATCGCATGCCACAGAATTCAATCTCAGCAGGTACTAGGTAAATGTATAACGTACTTCACGTATGGTAGATGTCCCCGAAACCTAACATGGCGCTGAATTTAGATTCCATCAGGACGAGAAGGAGAAAATAAACCTAGCCATGTGCAGCTGTACATAACTTACTTAAGATCATCGAAACAGGAAGAAGTCTATTACAAGTACCACGGATTTACCTACCTCAATGCTCAGTATCATCTGCGGCGGTTACTTGAGCCGCCTACGCATTAATGATAATAATGATTTACTTTATTCCAAAAACAGTACTTGTGATACAGAATGGGTCTGTAGCAGGTCCCTGAAAATAACTGACATCGTTTGGCACGCAATAATTCAAAACGAACGGTAGTAATTTTAGGAGCAGACTTTCAGCCATATGAGCAGCCAGAAAAAAGAAGTCAGGCATTGTTGTGGTTTTGACATCTTTAAAAAGCGTCCCGAGATATGCTAATTTATCTTGAATATCTACCAGGACAACTTATTCATAGCTACTTGTCAGACATTTTCGTGCGACCTGGCCTGTTCTGTCTGCCTGTTTTCGACATAGAACTTCGCACAAATGTGCGAAAGTTCAAGTCGCCACATTCCGTGTAGCACGCGAAGCAAGAGAAGAAAGTACAAGAAAAGCATAATAGAAACAGTGAGCAGAGGTGTGAGACAAAGGAGTAATAAAGAAATACAAAACAGTTTCATTGAAGATCATAAGTCACAGGGAGTGGATGCATCTGCGCCACTGAGAACGGTTTTGAGCCATGTCACCAATTGTTTCCAACCATAGGTTTTTACCGTCTCGAGGACCCCAGCCTGGAAGTCTACACCTTCCTACGTGGCTTAGACCAACTGTTGTGGATTTCATTGACTGATGCCAAGTTTTTGTTTGACCGCCGCTAGCTTTTTTCCAGCCTGACCCCATATCCGCTAACATTGCTCGTCGAGGGAGGCGATGACTTGGCATACGTAACACATGTCCTAACCATCTCAGTCTTTGTAGCTTCACGACTTCGTCGATTGATTTCCCCTCCTTACCTACCACTCGACGCCTAACTTCAATGTTGCTCACTTTATTATGCCACTTTACACGGGAAATAGAGCGCAGGCACCTATGATCAAAGACAGCTAGTCTTTTCATGTCTTCCACTCTCAGTGGCCAGGTCTCACAACCATAAAGGAGGACGGAGCGGACTGATGAGCAGTACACCCGCCCTTTGGTCGATAGTCGAACATCTCGTCTACGCCAGAGTCGGCGTAAACTGGCAAATGCGAAACGGGCCCCCTGTATTCGTGCTGAGATTTCGTCAGGTACTTCCCAAATAAGTGAAGCGGTCAACGTGCTCTACCACTTCACTTCCTATTTTTAAACTAGGCGTCGATGTAGTCCAGTCCTGTAACATCATCTTGCATTTGGCGGGAGCGAATCGCATGCCAAACATTCGTAGATTGCGGCTCAAGGTGTTTAGAAGACTCTGCATTTCGTCAGCGTCTTCGCCTAGAAGGACTATATCGTCTGCATATTCCAAGTCAAAGAGATTATTCCCTGGTAACAAGTCAATCCCTGAGTCGCTGAAGTCACCTAGGGTTAAGTCCATCAACACATCTATGATGAAGTTGAATAGAAAAGGAGATAATGGGCATCCTTGACGGACACCACTGGTCGTCATCAGTTCAGATGACAGCTCGCCGTAAGCCCTCACCTGGCTGTATGAGTACGAGTAGAGTTCCTTAACCAGTGCAATATATTTTCTCGGAATTCCCTTTACAGCCAAGCATCTCCAGAGAACTTCTCGATCGACAGAGTCGAATGCTGCCTTTAGGTCAAGAAATATAATGACTGTTGGACGCCGGTAGGAATGCCTATGTTCTAGAATCTGTCGGAGGGTGAAGATATGATCAATACACCCTCTTCCTGGTCTAAAGCCTGCCTGGCTCTCTCGTGTTTGTGCTTCCCGAGCACCACTCAGTCTACGCATGATTATTGAGCCTAAGACTTTAGATACTATATTAGTCAATCTAATCCCTCTGTGATTATCACAGGAAGACTTGTCTCCCTTCTTGTATATGGGGATAATCAGTGACTTACACCAACCTGATGGTACTTCTTCTGATTCCCAGACGCTGCCTAGTACCTCAGTTAATCCGAACAGTAAGCTGTCTCCACCGTACTTAAATACCTCTGGAGTCATTCCATCAGGTCCCGCTGCTTTGCCTAGTTTCAGATTGGTGACAGCTTTAGTAACCTCAGTTAGTGACAGAGGACCTGTGTCTATATCCCATTCAGGGAGGTGTTGGATGCTCGGAAGGTTGAGCGTGGCTGTGGGCAAATTAAACTGCTCCTCATAATGCTCTTTCCAACGATCCAGTCGTCTATCCTGTGAGCTAATTATAGTGCCATTTTTTTCCGAGATTGTCTCACTGATGATTTGTCTTCTCCCACCCGTTTCCCTGATGAGTCCAAAGAGTTGCCTGGTGTTGCCTATTCTCAAAGCTTTCTCCATCTCTTTGGCTTTTGTCGCCCACCACTGTTCCCGGTCCTTGCGGAGACTTTTCGTAAGTTTCCTCTTGTGCAGCTTTCGCTCCTCATTGAATTCGGAGCTCGCCGGAATAAGTCTTCTAGCGTCTATCAGTTCGGATGAGGCGGTGGAGATCCAGTGGTTTTTACTCACCTTTGGGTTTACCTTATTCACAGCTTTTACAGCTGTGTCTATGGCTGCCTGGATATTTTTCCAAGCTTCATCAGGGTGAGCACAGCTGTCGAACACAGATATGCGTTTAGCAAGTTCTTCCTGAAATACGGATTTAGTTTCCTGATCGAGCTGGGGACGTGATGGTTTTGCCGCCAGCTGTTTCCTACGTCCGTTCAGTCGTAAGCACATCCGAGCGCGGACCAGTGCATGGTCGGTATCTACACACGTGTTCCAGAAGGAGCGACAATCTCCTACCGACCCACGCCAACGATAGCTTATTGCTATGTGGTCTATTTGTGTCCAGCGTTGGTTTGATGAAGGGGGTCTCCAAGTCAAACAGTGTCTCTCCTTGTGTTTAAAGTTAGTGCTTACAAGAAACAAATGATTATCAGAGCAGAACTGTAGGAGACGGTCACCGTTGTCGGTTCGCTGGCACGGAGCTCCATAGGTGCCACCGACATCCTTCTCAGATTGACACAATTTCCCTGCGACCTGGGCACCAGGTAGTGTGGCCAAAGCTCAGGTCTAACGGTATAGGTGACCATGCATTGGTCGTAGGCGTTATTTCTTGTTGAAGCTAATTAGAAAGCAGCTCGAAGTCGTCCATGGGGCTTTACTAGCTGGCTGTCTAAACAACCACATATATGTCTGTCTGTTTTCGACATAGAACTTCGCACAAATGTGCGAAAGTTCAAGTCGCCACATTCCGTGTAGCACGCGAAGCAAGAGAAGAAAGTACAAGAAAAGCATAATAGAAACAGTGAGCAGAGGTGTGAGACAAAGGAGTAATAAAGAAATACAAAACAGTTTCATTGAAGATCATAAGTCACAGGGAGTGGATGCATCTGCGCCACTGAGAACGGTTTTGAGCCATGTCACCAATTGTTTCCAACCATAGGTTTTTACCGTCTCGAGGACCCCAGCCTGGAAGTCTACACCTTCCTACGTGGCTTAGACCAACTGTTGTGGATTTCATTGACTGATGCCAAGTTTTTGTTTGACCGCCGCTAGCTTTTTTCCAGCCTGACCCCATATCCGCTAACATTGCTCGTCGAGGGAGGCGATGACTTGGCATACGTAACACATGTCCTAACCATCTCAGTCTTTGTAGCTTCACGACTTCGTCGATTGATTTCCCCTCCTTACCTACCACTCGACGCCTAACTTCAATGTTGCTCACTTTATTATGCCACTTTACACGGGAAATAGAGCGCAGGCACCTATGATCAAAGACAGCTAGTCTTTTCATGTCTTCCACTCTCAGTGGCCAGGTCTCACAACCATAAAGGAGGACGGAGCGGACTGATGAGCAGTACACCCGCCCTTTGGTCGATAGTCGAACATCTCGTCTACGCCAGAGTCGGCGTAAACTGGCAAATGCGAAACGGGCCCCCTGTATTCGTGCTGAGATTTCGTCAGGTACTTCCCAAATAAGTGAAGCGGTCAACGTGCTCTACCACTTCACTTCCTATTTTTAAACTAGGCGTCGATGTAGTCCAGTCCTGTAACATCATCTTGCATTTGGCGGGAGCGAATCGCATGCCAAACATTCGTAGATTGCGGCTCAAGGTGTTTAGAAGACTGCATTTCGTCAGCGTCTTCGCCTAGAAGGACTATATCGTCTGCATATTCCAAGTCAAAGAGATTATTCCCTGGTAACAAGTCAATCCCTGAGTCGCTGAAGTCACCTAGGGTTAAGTCCATCAACACATCTATGATGAAGTTGAATAGAAAAGGAGATAATGGGCATCCTTGACGGACACCACTGGTCGTCATCAGTTCAGATGACAGCTCGCCGTAAGCCCTCACCTGGCTGTATGAGTACGAGTAGAGTTCCTTAACCAGTGCAATATATTTTCTCGGAATTCCCTTTACAGCCAAGCATCTCCAGAGAACTTCTCTATCGACAGAGTCGAATGCTGCCTTTAGGTCAAGAAATATAATGACTGTTGGACGCCGGTAGGAATGCCTATGTTCTAGAATCTGTCGGAGGGTGAAGATATGATCAATACACCCTCTTCCTGGTCTAAAGCCTGCCTGGCTCTCTCGTGTTTGTGCTTCCCGAGCACCACTCAGTCTACGCATGATTATTGAGCCTAAGACTTTAGATACTATATTAGTCAATCTAATCCCTCTGTGATTATCACAGGAAGACTTGTCTCCCTTCTTGTATATGGGGATAATCAGTGACTTACACCAACCTGATGGTACTTCTTCTGATTCCCAGACGCTGC